TATTGCCAATATGGAGGATGACTGGAATATCATACAAGAAGATATGGATGACCTTTAAAACTGGAGTAAAAGAAATGGGATGAAATTTAATTGTGCAAAGTGCAAGGTCATATATGTAGGGACTAACAACTAGAATTTTTGTTATAAACTGGGGAGGGATCAGTTGGAAACGACAGAGGAGGAGAAAGACCTGTGCGTATTGTTGATTACAGGATGATTAGGAGCCACCAATGTGATGTGGCCATGAAAAAGGCTGATGCAATCCTAGGATGCATCAGGTGAAGTATTTTGAACAGGGATAGAGAAGTGTTATTGCCATTATATAAGGCACTGGTGAGACATCATCTGGAATACTGTGTGCAATTCTGGTCTCCCATGTTTAAGAAAGATTAATTCAAACTGGAATAGGTGCAGAGAAGGGCTACTAGGATGATTAGAGGAATTGAGTATTCCTACCTTTTGAGAGGAGATATAAGGAGCTTGGCTTGTTTTGCCTAACAAAATGAAAGATGAGGGGAATTATGATTTCTCTCTATAAATACATCAGAGGGATAAACACCAGGGAGCAAGAGGAGTTATTTAAAGGCTAATGTTGGCACAGAAACAAATGGATATAAATTAGCCATCAATTAAGTTTATGTTTGAAATTAGATGAAGGTTTCTGACCATCAGAGGAGTAAAGTTTTGGAACAGCCTTCCAAAGGGAACGGTGAGGGCAAAAAACCTAGCTGGCTTCCATATGTTCAAGACTGAGCTTGATAAGTTTATGGAGGGGATGGTATGATGAGACTGCCTACAATGGCATGTAGCCAATCTGTGAGTGCTATTAGCAAATATCTCCAACGGCTGGAGATGGGCCACTATATGGAGATGGCTCTGAGTTACAAGAGAGAATTCTTTTCCAGGTGTCTGCCTGGTAGATTGCCCACATGCTCAGGGTCTAACTGATCACCATATTTGGGGTCAGGAAGGAATTTTTCCCCAGGTCAGCCTGGCAGAAACCCTGGAGGTTTTTTCATCTTCCTCTGCAACTTGGGGCATGGGTCACTTGCTGGTTTGAACTAGAGTAAATGCTGGATTCTCTGTAACTTGAAGTCTTTAAATCAAGAGTTGAGGACTTCACTAACTCAGCCAGAGGTTCTGGGCCTATTACAGGAGTAGATGGGTGAGGTTCTGTGGCCTGCGATATGCAGGAGGTCAGACTAGATGATCATGATGGTTGCTTCTGCCATTAAAGTCTATGAGCAACAGGAACAGAAGAGCAACATTTATACCCTAATTTATTGCTTCAACATGGCATCAGACTTTCTGGATGATGTTGGCAGAATTTATGTTGCTGGATTGGGCAGGACTACAGGCTAAACTGAATGTGGAGGAAGAACATGTAGAATTGAAGTGTAACAGAAGCAAACCCAGTTCATGAATAGCATTAGAAAGAAAAACAAAGGATGTTATTCGATCAGCAGGTGCCAGCAGCGAACAGCTGATTCCTTGGCACTCTCCTATCAGGGGAAGAATAGCATCCTAACTCAGTAAGATCTGCAGTATGTTTAGCCATTGGCAGGAATTCTGGTCAAGTAAGTCTGTCAAGAAGCAATAGAAATGCAGATCTACAATGCTTGCTGTCTAGTAAATGTTACAGTACAGCGTGCATGATGCTTATGACTAATTCAGCAGTCCCTGCCTCTGGATCTTTACCCAAGTCCCTTGTATAGCAAAAATGCTGAACATAGAAATGGCAGGAAGTTGTGCAAAGTACCTTCCCAATTCACAAGGGACACTGTGACGGGGTGGACTATGTCTGGAGGCCCGCTGCTGGAGGCCTGAGGCCCTGCCACATAGGGTTACCATTCGTCCGGATTCCCCCGGACATGTCCGGATTTTAGAGCTAAAAATAGCGTCCGGGGGGAATTTCTAAATGTCCGGACTTCCCCCCGGGCTCCGACAGCCAGAGACAGCCCCTCCTTCCCCCTGCAGCAGAGATCGCTCCCTCCCTGCATTTGCAGATCACCAGCCGGCCGTTCGCACTGGCAGTCTGGAGCTCCTCCCCCGCTCCTTCTCCCCGGCACGCTGGTCTGAGCGGCAGAGTAAGGGGGGGCCAGGGGGTCAGAGAAGGGGCAGGGAGGTTCTGGAGGGAGCAGTCAAGAGACGGGGGAGGGGTCGGGCGTTCGGGGGGGGGCTTTCTGGGGGTGGGGGGGTGGATAAGGTTTTGGGCAGTCAGGGTACAGGTAGGGGGTAGGATCCTGGGGGGGGGCAGTTAGGGTGGGGGGGGTCTCAGGAGGGGGCAGTTAGGGGACAAGGAACAGGGAGGCTTAGGTAGGGGGTGGGGTTCTGGAGGGCAGTTAGGAGCAGGGGTCCCAGGAGGGGTAGTCAGGGGACAAGGAGCGGGGGGAGTGTTTGAGAGTTCTGGGAGGGGGCTGTCAGGGGACAGGGGTGGGGAGAGGGATCGGAACAGTCAGGGGACAGGGAGCAGAAGGGTTTAGATGGGTCGGGAGTTCTGGGGGGGGGCTGTCAGGGGGTGGGGAGTGGTTGGATGGGGCGTGGGAGTCCCGGGGGTCTGTCTGGGGGTGGGGGTGTGGATAAGGGTTGGGGCAGTCAGGAGACAGGTGGGGGTAGAGTCCTAGGGGGCAAATTAGGATGGGGGGAGGGTCTCAGGAGGGGGCAATCAGGGAACAAGGAGCAGGGAGGCTTAGGTAGGGGGTGGAGTCCTGGGGGGCAGTCAGGGAACAAGGAGCAGGGGGAGGGTTGGGGTTCTGAGGGGGGCGGGGAGTGGAAGGGGTGGGGCTAGGGCAGGACGGGGGCGGGGCTAGGGCAGGACGGGGGAGGGGCTCCTCCAGTCCTCTTTTTTCCGTGCTGAAATATGGTAACCCTACTGCCACACCCGACCCCAGAAAAGGGCAGTAGAGAGATCCTTCAAGCTGCCTAGAGCGGCTGTGTCAGAAGCAGCCAATCAGGAACCAGAAGGCTAATATAAGAAGAGCTGCAGGGCTAGAGGGAGTTTAGTTCCTTGCTAGAGCTGGAGGAGTGTGGCTGGTGTGCCTGGCTGGCTGAGGGAGCTACAGGCCCTTGGACAGAGTAATGCTGGCAGAAGGTGGGGGGAACGTGAAGAAGCTCTGGGCTGGCTGCTGGGATTCCACCAGGACAGGGCCCTGAGGTAAGGGTGAAGAATGTACTGGAGCCATGGGGGAGTGGCCCAGGGAATTAGAGCAGCAGTGTGGCTTAGATAAAGGGACATGGCACAGCTGCTATCCATAGGGTCCTTGGGCTGGAACCACGCTCCACCCCCACCAGCCACTGGGAAAGTGGCCTGGACCTTGATACACCCCAGAAGGGCAACTGAACTGCAGCAGCCCAGAAAGGACCTGAGAGGGCGAAGACATTGCCTTCACGGAAGGAGCCCTGGGGAACCGCTCTATACCAGAGCAGGGACAACTTGAGAGAGATGTTACCGAGGGCACTGAGAGAGGCCTCTGTTGGACTTATACCCCAGAAAGGATTTGCTGTGCTTTTACTCACAGACAGAGTGTCTGTGTGTGTGAGAGAGAGACTTGGCTGGAGGGATGAGTCAGCAAAGACCCACCACAAAGAGAGAGTGAGAGAGTGCAGGCACATGCATTTGGCCAATGGGTGATCATGAGAGGTGAGTGCACCCCATTGCAGACACAGTTAAAATGGTATATTTCATGCCCAATAAGCCATGCACCAAGGATCAGTACTGATTGGAGGCCAATAGAAAGAAAAGACATTGGAGCAAAACAGACTCTCTCTAACTTGCTTTTCTTTCAGATTCTGAAGAAAGTCAACTTTAACCTGGATAAGGTTCAGACAAAAACTAGGGACTCATAATGACAGTGCCTGGTCCAAACAGCCAGTGCAACATGGTGGGAATGCTTCAGCGTAGTCCCTGAGGTTTTACTTTGCTCTTTGTTAGAGAAATAGGCATACTGTGTATCACAAATTCGAAATGGTTTATGTAGCATGGCTAAGGTAAAAGCATCTTCTTAGGAGCACCTCTGTAGTATGGGTTTTTTTCAGTGTTCACTGGAGGTCTCAATGAACACAGATGTCCATGTAATGGGTGTAACCTGGTGCTGATGTGCTAGGATTTATGTTCAGAATTTCCCCCCTGGATTAGAGAGTAGTCCATGTCCTGTTTGTTCACAAATGCTGCTGTTCAAAGATATTACACACCTATAGGACCTATAGGAGCGAGTGTAAATGTTTTAAATTCCCATCACCTAGGTTTGATCAGCATCTGGCTATTCAAATAAATGGTTGAGGAATTTTTATTTTTATTTTTCTTGTAACCTATGAAAAGAATTGCACAAATCTCCACCTGCAAGGAGCCCTTTATGCTGTCTCCCACAACAACAAAAAGTTTCCATAAGAGAGCAGAGTACAGGATCTGCTTGACTTTTCTAGCACACAGTGGGAGAGTTGTCTCACAACACAACCTGCTCATGCTGATGCTCTTATTGCTGCTGTTTCTAAGGCCCTTTCAAGGCTGCTTTCTCCACATCCTCTCGTTGGTGCCACTGCATGCTCTCAGGTCATGGGACTGATGATGGCACGCACTAAATTCTCTGATGCAAAGATGAGGGAAGTCCATTTTGCTGCCCTGAAATTGGAACTCCTGGTGCAAAATTCACCAAAGATGAATAGAACTGCTTTGTAGCACTAGAGCCAGGAGAGAAATTATTGCACCAGGCAATGCTGGAATCATTGCTTCCATTAACAACACTGGAAAACACTTGCCAAGTTGGACCTTCCTCCCCACCCAGTGATAAAGCAGGGTTGTTAGGCACCGTGAACTCAATGAGCTACGTTCCAATGTCACTGCAAACCTGGAATAGCCATGGCTCACAATACAAACAGCATAAAGAACCTTCAGTTAACATGCACTGTTATGTACCTGCTGCAGTGTTGGGTGGGCCAGAGCTTATCAAGAGAAGTAAATGCTACACATTCTATCTTTTCATATGGCTATCTTCCAGCTGGGGCTAGTCCTTCTTACATGATTTTGGTTTAAATTTTAAAGTGCTGAATGCGCCTTCCACAGCTTTGGGTAAATAAATTGGATATCTTTCCAATCTCTTTCTGGAGCCAGTTGTTCTTCTCTGGCTGTTTCTTTTAGACTGGCTTGCTGCCTCTGCTATTTGCAAGGCATCTTGGGAGTGCCTCTGAGGGGCACGGAGAATCCAGTTTGAATGTAAACTGTGCTCACGAGTGCTGGTAGCAACTGAAAGAGAGAAGATAGTTCTAGTTAATAACAGCTTCCCAATGAATGTTGATGTTCAGCTAGTAATTGACAAAGGAGGATGTTAATTAGGTCCTTTCTAGAAGTAATGCTGAGTAACACAGTGAAGGTTCCATAATGGCTTCTACTTCAGGAATTTCTGAATTTCACTTTCTGACTAAAATTTTCTGTACTTTATCTCTAGCTTATAGGTAGAGCTGGCAAGATCTTTCAACCAAAACTTTTCTTAGTGAAAAATGCAGATTTGGGTTGACTGAAACATTTTGTGAATTTGTGTCAATTTCAGCAAATGGTTGTAAGGGGGGAGGAGGGTGGAACCTCTCAAATTTCCCCAAAAGTCAATGTTTCACTTCAACCTCTTCGAAACAAAATATTTAGCTTGATTCCAAATGAATTTTGGTTTCAAAATTGCCTTTAGCTTTATTTTTAAAAACTGGGGAGGCGGGAGGGAGAAGCTTGAAATCTAAACAAAGCATTTCATGTCAGAGTAAACAAGATGTTTCATTCAACCAAAAACTACTTGTTTTCTGACTTTTCAATTAATCAGATTTTTTTTTTAATCATTTTCGGATCAACCTGAAACAATTTTATTGATTGAATTGTCAGTGATGCAAAATAAATAAATCCATTATTTGCACAGTGTTTTTTAATATATGGAGATAGCCTATCTCCTAGAACTGGAAGGGACCCTGAAAGGTCATTGAGTCCAGCCCCCTGCCTTCACTAGCAGGACCAAGTACTGATTTTGCCCCAGATCCCTAAGCAGCCCCCTTAAGGATTGAACTCACAACCCTGAGTTTAGCAGGCCAATGCTCAAACCACTGAGCTAGCCCTCCCCCTCAATGCCTGTAGGTGAGTTTTTGGTTTATAAACTTGACCAAAATCAGCCAACCTTTTCTGAATGAGGAAAGAGATCAATCTATATAGAAAGCTATATTTCAGTCATCGATAGATAGATAATGGGAAAATTATATAAGGACTATTCTGCTGATATTTTTAACAGCTCTATAAACAAGACTACCCATTGTAGAAATTGGAAAATATGTGGATCATAAAAATGTCACCCTCCACCTCTCTTCCCTTAGTAATTGTATTTTAGATGCTCTATATAGACTTCACCATCAAAGTCAACATCCACGTTTGGGAGATCTGTCACAGGAACTTTCTGCCATCTCTCTGCATCCAGATCTGCAATCACAGAGTCCAAGAAAGCTATTGCCTCTCTTACATCTGAATTGGACTGTGGGACTCTTTTCTCCATTGATATCTGTTGAACAGATGCGTAAGAAATAAGTACATTGAAAATAATATAGAACTACTTTTTAATAAAAGAACTGTGCAAAGTGGAGTTGTATCTGGATCCAAACAGCGCAAAATCTGATAATTTTATTTGGGCCCATCTCTAGTCCATAGTTCATACCAAGCTAAGAAAATGGTCCAAAAATAATACCTAGTGCTTATATTGCTCTTTTCATCAGTAGATCTCACAGCGCTTAGACAGGAAGTCAGTACCATTATCCCCTATTTACAGATGGGGAACTGAGTCTCAGAGAAGGAAAAGTGACTTGCCCAAGACCCAGCAGGCCGGTGATAGAGCCAGCAATAGAACCCATATCTCCTGAATGCCAGGCCTGGGCACTACCCATTAGAAGACTCTGCCTCCCAAACAGGTTGAATCTCTTGGAAATAATGGGCCAGATTTTCAAATGCTCATCGCCTGCCCCCCGCCCCAACAGCTGGGGCCAGATTTTCAAAAATGCTTGTCGGCCAACATCTCCTGTCCTGTCCTGACCCGCAGGGGTAGAGTTTCAAACAGCACTCGGCACTCAACATGTTGAGCTCTTCTGAAAATCTGCCCACTATGTGGGAACTGAGGTCTTTGTGCATAAAGTCTATTTAAGGAGGCTTGTGTGCCACTAAAAGGGGGGCAATTTGACAGTGTGGTGATAACTCCAAAGGAAAACCAGTAGGGTTTAAAAATAAAAACTCTCTTCAATAAACAGCTCTCTGTGTAAAAACTGAAACAGTTATAACAATGTGGTAACACTTTTTGGAGTTTCTATGTACTGCTGTGTCTGTATAGGCAAAACGCCCATTGACTCTCCTGGGAGTTCTGCCCAAGTAAGAACTGCCTATGTTCTCACTCAGCTTAAGGCCAGACTGTACTATTGAGAGCAGTGTGTCCCAACCACACTACCTCCCTGACTCTCCCAGATATCTTTGAAAGATGCAGCCTTCTTTGAAGGAGCAGCTCTCTGCTCTGTGGGCTGGTGAGGGGATGAATAAAGCTTGACCTAGCTTCTTTGCTCCCTAACCCCTTTGGGGTGATTTGCATGGATAGGAGTGCTAAGAGGAAGCAGCCACTTCACGTTTACTGACTGTAGTGACTGCTATTACATCTGGCCCTTAGTGGTTAGAAGACAGTTTAAATAAAACTTCTTGTCAATATCATCCGAGACACAAATTATTTTTCCTTCAGGACAAGCCCAAGGGTCAAAGTTTGAGCCTGAATCCAGACCCAAAGGTCAGATACCATTCAGTACCCAGACTTTGGTTCAGCCGGTTATAGAGACAGACATTCGGATCCAGATCCAAGCCTGCGCAGTGTTTGGTGAGTGCATTTCTACTAATTCTTCATCACGCAGAGAAAGAGAAATGAATTTTCACTGAAGATAATGTTAATGCAAGCAGATAGTGACGTACAAAACAATACATCCCTGTGGTTAAAAAGAAACTTGTGATCACTAAATAAAAGTACCATTTAGAAAGCGGCCAAATAACCCGTGGTATTCTGGATTACTTCTTTAGTCCTTCAGAACCCCTTTCTTCAAAGCCAGTGTTATGGTGCAATGACAGACCCTCTTGTGTTGGGAGAATAACTCACTGTACAGCATATCCTGCTGATGTCATACATTATCCATTTATGAGCAGGAGGCTGGTAGAGTTAACACTCCAGCAGGAATCAAGTCTGGTCACACATAAGAGCTAGTCAGCTATAATCAGATGACATAATACTCCAGACCTTAGCAAATGAGAGCTCTATTTGTTTGTTAAACCAGAGTTCCTTTTCTTTAAAGAGGAATTTTCAATTGTACATAGCACTATAACAACACTCAGGAAATGTAAGGAGTCTATGTAGACCTTCTGTCTGTAAGGTCTGGTCCACAGTACCTACTGTAGTCAGCATTTTGCATCCTTTACCACTGTTTTCTTTCCACTGTGTTGACTTGGCCAAATTCTGCTCTCAGTTACACAAGGGTAGATCCAGAATTCCACCACTGATGGCAATGGAGTTAGTGACCCCAGTGACTGTCAATCTCCCATGAACCAAAAAGGAACCAACCCCAACTAATTATAGGCAGGGTGTGTCATAAACTCCTAGGCTACACTCCTCCTAGATCTCAGTGTGTCTATTTTGGATCTTTCCCTCTCCTTGATTCTTCATCTTTTTACAAATGTCTCTGTCTCCCCTTGCCAATACATCTTAAATCTTCTTCCCCTCCATTATTTACTGAGCATCAGTGTACCGAATACGATACAGATGTAGGTCCTGATCCAAAGAGCACTGAAGTCATGTGAAAACTGCCATTGATCTGAGTGGGCATTGGATCACGGCCATAGAGCATTAGAAAATATGGTCTCTGGTGCCAGAAATGTTTGGGCTTCATTCAGCCCCCACTGGCACAATTTGCACCCCCATGCACTAGCAGAAACTACTATATCCAAAGGTGAATTTGTCCTTGTGGGAGGGTAGGCAGCATTTGCACCAGTGTTCTCCTTCAGGGCTTCTGCCGTGGGAGGTTGACTTCAAAGTGTGGTCAATGCCCTCCTGATAGAGAGTCTCAGGGGATGCAATGAGTCAGCCCTATGTCCCCTCCCTACACCATCTACCCCACTAGCACCCACTGTGGGCCCTGCACAGGCCAGCTGTGGCTCTGCTGTCAAAGGAGGGATTGTGGCCACTTTGCATGAGCATAATACTCCGGCAGGCAGCCTTTCCACTGCTGGAAGCTCGGTATCTTAGGTGAATCAAGCCGGGCTAAATCAGCCTAAATTCTGAGCAGATGCAAACAAAACAGTTCAGATACGTGAGATACAAAACTGCAACTGAAATGAAAGGCTGCATTCGATTTTGCAACTGTATGATTCTTTACTCTGTAAAGTGGTTGGAGATAGCCTGTATGAAAGGTGCTGCTTCAAAGTTCTGAGCGTAATGACAGTGAAGAGAGAAATTTTGTTTTCTGTTTCTAAAGCAGCTGCCAGTGTATTAGTTAGCAGCAGCTTTCTAGTGAATGGAGCACTGAGAACTAATACTTGCCATGTCCCCATGGCTGGCAGTGGAACTCGTAGTGATGACAAAACTAGTGCTGCTGATGACATTGTACCTGGCTGCTCAGTGAAAATCATGGTGGTTCAATATAAGAATGTACTCTGTGTAAATAATTTCAAAGTGCACAGCCGATAGAAAGCCTCCTACTTATCTCAATGGATTACTGAGCTCTCCAGTCAGTACCAGCTATAAACAACCAAGGTGGAGAACCATGAGGTGCCATCTGATGTGATAGCCTCAAACACAATTATCTTTTTATGGATGCATTTTCCAGACTTCATACACACCCACCTCTTTCTCGCTCTCATTAACATTTCCCCCAAAACATTCAGATGAATCTTGACTCATGCACACTCCACATCACTCCAAAAAGTGTTTTTACAGGCCCTATGTATTCTCATCTCCCCCCACTCCAGGATTCTCTACCTATTGAGGTACTTCTATGCTCCTATCACTGTACTGTCTGAGTGCCTTCTAAGTATTTATGGTTTATTGTCCTCACAACACTCCTGTGCAGAAGGGGAGTATTATTATCCCCCTTTTACACACGGGGAATGGAGGCACAATGAAGTTACTTGCCTAAGATCACACAGGTGGTCTGTGGCAGAGTTGGGAAGAAACAAAATTGCATCTGTCATCACTTTAATCTATTAAAGCATCCCAGCTGTCCTCCAAAAAAGGCTGTGGTCCAACCCTACCTCTAAAAGTGATTAAATATAACCAGATCCCCCCCTTCTTCCTTGCTCTTGGTGGAGGGCTATAATTGGTGGCACTTAATAATAACACAAATGATAACTTCAGACTAAGAAAAACCCACCTGATTGGTCTGATAAGCCACCAGGATCCTAGAGGCAGCAGAAGGCAGCTGCTCCTTTACAGAACGTTCTGTTATCAGGTCAAATCCAGATCCTAAAGGATCCCGCACAATCATCAAATTATGGTTGATACCTGTTCAACCTTAATTCTTATGTTTGCATCCAGGATGCACAGAGAATCAAATCTAATTCAGCAGGTACTACCCAACCTTTATTCACTCTTTAATGACTGCTTGTACACATTAAATTATTCTCTATTTCAAATGGTGGCACAGTAAGAGGGACTTGATCTTGAATAAAGACCATTGACACAGAAAACCAACACAGGTTATGCAACTACATGTTACGCAGTTAAGGCAAATGGTAGGTAACCACATGGCAAGAATATTTTCTTGTGCTTAGATACAATAGCCCTTACCTTAGAGGAGTGCCTGGTAGGAAGTGGGTGTAGTGGCTTTTTCCCTGTTTTGGAGGATTTTGTTGACACCGGAGAAATTTCTGATGTCATGTTCATGGATTTTAAGTCATTGATGCTGTCAAGGTATTTTTTTCTCAAAGCTAATAGATCCTGTAAGTACTGTAAGCAATGTTGAGTCTTGGAGTACATCCAGGCCCTGTCTTCCTCTTTCTGCTGGAAGTATGCACATGATTCTATACTGGTGGTACTTTTGCATTTTTTCAAGGATTCATTGAGTCTCTGCTGCTCACCTCCAAGAGTGTACATAGAGGTGCTGCGGATCAGCCTTACAGCAGAGCCTGTGCCATCATAGCAAGGGATATCATCAGCCAGACTCCTCCTATGGGAGTTGGGGTGAAAGATTGAATGGATCTTTCTGAACATAATGTGCCACTTTCTTCACCCTGTACCTTGTCTCCTTCAGCCTCTTGATTTTAAGGCAAAATTAGCTAGTCAGTACCCAAGTCTCTTGTTGTTAGCTGAAAGGCAGATTTGCCAGATGCTCACTGGAACCAGGCTAAAAGTTTATGGCTGCTTCAGCTGCTTCCAATATATTTTTTTGTTAAAGATCACAGCAATGTTTTCGGTTACATCTGCATCACTTAAACAGCTTTGCTTTTCTCTCTGATTAAAGCGTAGTACAGTAGGTCAAATGCCTTCCTCTGATCGTTCCTCTAGAGTCTCTCCATACAAATCATCAGTGTCAGACAAGACATTTTCCTCTCCATTGTTTCTTTCTTTTGTTTCCATCAGTGTCACATCCTTGATCCGTTAGCTGTCTACTTCACCTTATAGTTGCATAGATTTGAGATGTCTTTGTGCTGACCATGGTACTGAACTACTTCTAAGGTCCAAAAAATATCCTCTTGGTTAAGAAATAATGAGACATGGCTTAGCAGACCATTAATGGGTGTTTTGTGAAGAAACCATTCAAATAAGCATAGACCAAGAGGGACTGACTGATCAGGAAGGGAACACCTGTATTGTCTAGATCATTGCACCTCCAGGCAGGAGTTCAGCTGCTCTGAGAAGGGATGTTGTGTTCTGTGCTATGGCAACAGAGGAATGGTTACAGCTATTTGATAGCACATCTTTGTTAGGAATAAAGTGTACTCAGGTACCCAGATCCATTACACCCCATTCAAAAGCTTCACTGTGTGAGAAATGCTGTAAAATAAAACTGTTCTAAAATACTCCTTTATCTCAAAATAATAGCAGAGATTTTAGTGCACAGAGAAACCATTACATCTGTGGGTTTTGAATGTTTGTTCAAGAAAAAAACGATGTGCAAACATTTGAATATTGTGTTTATGGCTGCAGGATTTAGCCTGAAAAATACTGTAAATATTATTAGCATATTAATACTATTCTATGATTTGCATAGTGTCCACGTTGTGAATGTGCTTTAAGGGAAATAATTGGACAGCAGCCAGTTTTCATTGTCAGAATGATCTAGCTTTTATCTAAAGTCTGCAGGAATGTTTAGGGCTTACATTTTCACAATTGAGTTTGTAACTCATTCTGCTCAGGACTTGTGTGTTTGAGAAAGCTATTTTATTTTCAGAAATCATGGGTATGATCTTACAGTTTTCACTCAGGCAAAACTCCCATTGAACTCACTGGAAGTCTTGCATAGGGATTTAGGCACCATAACAGTTGTGCAATTGGCTACGGCAATATTGGATGATAATATAAATGTATGTTTAATTTCATGCATTCCTCCATAAACTCAGATTCACTGGGCGATGATTTCATACTATAATTTTGGAGAATATTTACATATAGGCCCTGACTTCAGGACAGGGCTGAGCTGTGATTTGGCATAGGATGTAAGGCAGACTCAAGATAGCTTTATGCCACTTTTGTAGTTCTCTAATTCTGGGGCTGGTTTGGCTCCCATTATAAGCAAGAGTAGCCTTGGGATTGCTCTAAACTGCACCCAGCAGACTATAATCTAGTGGCTGGCAAGAGCTGGACCATAGAGATAAGTTTATATTACCTAATACTTCCAGAGGTGCTCTGCATGTGTTCCCCCATCCAGGTAATTGGTAAAACCAACTTTATGGCCCCTTTGAGCCCCAGAGCTGTGCAAAGAAATTGTCACCTATGTGAGAATCTGTCCCAGTGCCTCGAGGTCTAAGGGAGAGAGTCCTTCTGGTTCATAAAAGTAGTATAGTAAAAAAGCATTGTGGGTTCTCTTTTCTAGTACATATTTTCTTTTACAAAGTATAAGGCTGCAAGGAATCCTTAGTTTGGAGCTTTGTATCTGCCTCACTAGTGTTGCAAAGTGCAGTTACTGTCCCAAACAGAAAGAAGTGAGATCAGTCCAGAATATCCCTTTAAAGTGGATTTGATTTGCTGTATCTTCAGGTTTTAGTTGCAGTGAATATAATGAGCACCTGTGTTTGCACTCTCGGTCTGCTCCTGTAGCCATCTTGCCCATGGGACTTCCATTGACTTCAGTGACTTGAACATGTATGGGAGCTCCAGGAAGGATTGGAGTCCAGTGATTTGCTGATGGCAATGGGAGTTCCCTAGAGACAAGCTCTGGGATCAAGCACTGCCTTTCCATAGCAGATTGATCTCATTTGGATTTACTAGTAGTTCCACTGCAAGGTAAATCAAACTTTAAACAAAAACCAGGACTGCATTTAATGATAAGAGTACATTAGATGTTATATACCCTGATTAGCAAAGCACTTAAGTATCTGTTTAACTTTAAGCACAAGGAAAATTATTCTTCAGTAAAGTACTTGAAGCATGTGCTTAAGTCCTATTGACTTCAGTCCCTGCAGTGGGTCTTAAGCATATATACCTCTACCCCGATATAACGCTGTCCTCGGGAGCCAAAAAATCTTACCGCATTATAGGTGAAACCGTGTTATATCGAACTTGCTTTGATCTGCCGGAGCGAGCAGCCCCCTCCCACCCCCCCGGAGCGCTGATTTACCGCGTTATATCCGAATTCGTGTTATATCGGGTCACGTTATATTGGGGTAGAGGTGTACTTAATTTTAATCACCTGCTTTAGTGCTTTGCTGATCCCAAAATCGTCCCCTCCCCCCATTTTAAAAAATACTGGGCCAGGTTCATTTTGTGCCCCCAGAAACCAGGTTCCTATTGCTTCACGAATGAATTTTAACAAGCAGGGACTAATAAAAGTCATGCATGACTCAATACTGTAGCTATGCTATGTAGGGAACATGAATATTTATTTTTTTTCTCTAGAGTCACATCTGTATCTGAAATAACCCTTATGCTTCTAAGATTAAAAGACAAGACTTCAGCTCTCTTTAAAGGCAAAGAATAGATCTTGTGTGTTTAGTGGTGGTGAGGGCAGGCAGTGCTTAGTTTGTAATGAAAGAGGTGCCAGAGCTCAAGCAACTAGGTGCTGGGGCTCCAGCAATTTTTTTACTTTCATAACTGACGCGGTAAGCCCAGAGGTGCCGGGGCTCAGCCCTAACAAGCCCCAGCACAAATCAAGCACTGAGGGCAGGGTCCTGAGCCCCCATCTCCCACCACAAGGGCATGGAATCAGGCATTCACAGCTGCAGGTGGTTTTCTAAGTAGGCCTCTATTTATTCAAAGCCAAATTACATTCCCCTTCTGTATGGAAGCCGTCCCCTTTGAAGTGAATAGGACTTCTCCCATGAGCAAAGTAATGGGAATTGCACTCAGACAGCATGCTCCTCTTCCCCAGCCTTGCTGATAGGAACTGAATATACCTGCCATAGCTAATCCTGTTGATAATTAAAAACCCAAGCTCTTATTCCAGAATTGTTTCTTTGCTTCAAACTTGTTTGGGATATTTCGCCGTTAATGCAGAGTGCCAAGTTTGCAGGAAGCTATTAAACTTCCCAAGCAGGAGCTAGAGAGAAATAGATCATTCTAAATATTTAATGGCATCTAGGATTACTAGCTTTGACAATGCAGCTCTCCTTTCATGTTCGTTCATTTGGCCGTTTGACTTTGACTTGGCTGAGTGAAGGCATTTTATTATTAAAATGCTTTTTTGCTGTATGATTTTCTTCACTGTTTCTGGTTTGTGGGGAGGACTACAGGAGGCAGGTTCTATGGACCATCAGGAGGTGGCTTTTAAAGTTATCTCTGTTATCTGCCCCAGGGTTCTTGCAGTTGTAGAGCCTGATGTCTGGTTAAGAAATATCAATCTACATGGGCTTCCAATGGTATATAAGTTATAACTAAACAAAAATCATAAAATCAAAGACATAAATCAAATGAAGACAAAGTGGGTTAATATCAAATCAGTCTAATTATTGGGATGATTAAAACATATAAAATGAACCAACAATTCCTTATTAGCTATATCTAATAATGTAGGAGGAGTCAAACCTTGTTTAGCTATCAGCCTCAAAATGACAGGGCATTATCAATCCCAATGCCAACTGATATTTATATTGCAGCCAAATGGCTGATACAAAGGAGCATCTAATCACTCTTGGGTTGAACTACAGCTCTGATGCTAATTAAGGCAGTCTACCCACATTATAGACACATGATAATAACCAATCTTTTTCTCCCCCAACACAGTTACATGAGACATTACAACGCAGTTGAGAATAGCACAGCTTATTACATTTTACCAACAAACAAAAATGGAGGTGAAAATAACAATTTCTCAAGATTTAAACACGTCTCCCAACTCATGAATTGCATGCACAGACAGCAAGGTCATTTAACCCGATGTTGTTTTAGATGACTGAGGGTATGTCTACACTACGAAATTAGACTGATTTTATAGAAGTCGATTTTTAGAAATCAATTTTATACAGTCTATTGCGTATGTCCACACTAAGCGCATTAAGTCGGCGGAGTGCATCCTCACTACCAGGGCTAGCATCGACTTATGGAGCGGTGCATTGTGGGTAGCTATCCCACAGTTCCCGCAGTCTCCGCCACCCATTGGAATTCTGGGTTAAGCTCCCAATGCCTGATGGGGCAAAAACATTGTCACAGGTGGTTTTGGGTACATGTTGTCAGTTGCCCCTCCCTCCATGAAAGCAACAGCAGACAATCGTTTTGTGCCTTTTTTCCTGGGTTACCCATGCAGACGCCATACCATGGCAAGCATGGAGCCCGCTCAGTTCACTGTTACCGCTGCTGTTGTGAGCATTGTAAACACCTCGCGCATTATCCTGGAGTATATGCAGCACCAGGCTAAGAGAGGCCAGCACGAGGAGAATTTTGATGAGGACATGGACACAGACGTTCCTGAAAGCATGGGCTGTGGAAATTGGGATATCATGGCAGCACTGGGGCTGGTTGATACAGTGGAACGCCGATTCTGGGCCAGGCAAACAAGCACAGACTGGTGGGACCGCATAGTGTTGCGGATGTGGGATGATTCACAGTGGATGCGAAAC